CAGCATTAGTCATAATAGCCAAGAGCTGAAAACAACCCAAGTGCCCATTGACAGATGAATGAACAAAATGTGATATATACACACACTGGAACAGAATTCAGCCTTAAAAAGGAAGGAAATCCTATCACATGCCACAACATGGATGACTCTTGAGGCCATTATGCTAAGTGAAATAAGCCAGTCACAAAAGAATAAATACTATAAGATTTTTGAGGTACCTAAAGTAGTCAAATTCATAGAAACAGAAAGCAGAATGGTAGGAGCCATGGGCTGGGGGGAGGAGGAAATGGGGAGTTGTTTCATGAGGATAGAGTTCCAGTTACAAAAGATGAAAAAGTTCTGCAGATCTATTGCACAACCATGGGAATGTACTAATTACTGACATGTGATGTGTCTCATGCGGGCAGTCATTCTCCGGAGCCCACAGGCTGCTCAAGGGTAGAAGGTGTTGCTTATCTTTGTACAACCAGTGTTCTAGTCACATTGTAGAAACTCACAGAGTCTGTGGCTGTTGACTGGCCAACAGAACACACGAATCAATGGCTGTGTTGGAATCTACATAAAAGCAACAATTAGAGATAGGGGTTGATATCAACCTTTCATTGTATAGCACCCATTAGTATAGATAAAAATAATCTTTATTTCTAAGAAATATATAAAATCATACAGGCGAGCAAAATGAAGGCAGCTTTAAAAATGTAACATGAAGAACATATAAACATAGAAAGTGTCACAAAAATTCAGTAGTTTAAAAACATTGCCTTCATCACCAGGAAGCTTCTGAGGGCATGCCCCCAAGGAAAATGGTCACTAGCTGTCACATACTACAGAAGAGCATGGCTGGCTTGGGAAGTCCTGAGAAGCAACTCTCTTTCACATTCCAAAAACAGTGGGTAAACTGAATCATTTCATTTCAAGCTGCACCATCGACTGCTTTGATCTCTTCGGCTCAACGGTCGGTTGATTTCCAGAAGGCATCCTCGCCTAACACGATTTCAGAAGAAAGAGAAAAGGCTCTCCTGTGCCGTGGGTCTTCCTTTGGTGGTGAGTGCCACCAGGTGTGGCGCCAGTCGCCTGGACCTCCAGCAGGCCCAGCACAGGGCTCAGCATCATGGCCAAGGTCGTCTCTAAACACGGAAGTGAGACTTGGCGCTTGTCCATTTATAGTCACGTGCGCCGGGTTCAGAAGGCAGAGCTTGAATTCTCAAGTAAGAAATCACGGAGCAAATAGGGATAACGTTTCTCATCAATTCTTTGGGTGCAAGTAGTTACGTATGCTTCAGTTACAAGGATAGAAAACAGTTTAACATTAGGCCCTAAGTGTCATTAAATATGAAAGACAATCCCACAAATTGCTTCTGCGCATGTAACTGAAAAAGGAAGTAGATACTAGCCTGTAGCTGGGAGAGAGAAGGCCATAGGCATCTAGAGGAAATCTGATTCGAGGAATAAGTGAATGCCTCTAAAATAAGCAACACAAAGAGTGAAACATGTACCCCCCAAAACAGGAAAATTATAGAGCAGGGAGGGCTCAAGTGGAAAAATGTTATAAGGAGAACAGTCTTGGCTCAAAACTAAACGAAACATATTTATTCACCTAAAAAAGAACGGGAAAGAAAATCTTCTAGACCTTAGTTATTAATCTTGTATTCCAAAAAACATGTTTTTATATATTACAGAAAAAGAGGGAAGTAGTACTCCTGGTCCATGTCCGCTGTAACTACAGGAGATTGGAGTATCACAGAATGGAAAGGAAAAGCGTCCAAGTTGCCACAAATGGCTAACCCTAAAACTACATGGAAGAAAAGTCCTACTGATTGTCTAAAATTAACTCCCAGCGTATGGAACTGTATTAGAGTTGACTGTCACACATGGAGCAGAATGAGCAATGATGTAATTAATGATGTGTATCTTCAGGGTCCTGAACCCTCATCTCAGGGAGGCGGCAGCCTCATTCTGCTGCCATTGGTCCATTTGTGAAATAGCTGTGCCCTTCCTACCTGCTAGCGGGGCTACTTGTAATGGTTCTAATATATTGTACAACCAAAATTAATAGAAGGGTGGTTCTAGGCTGGTCTTGGATGGCAGCCAAACCAGAAAGGGTGTGTGTGTGTGTGTGTGTGTGTGTGTGTGTGTGTGTGTGTGTGTGTAGGTTTTATGCTCCAGCAGAGGGCAGTACCACATAAAATTACTATTAAGGAAAAATTGAGGTGTAGCATCTTTTGTCTATGACCACAAATTTTCTATAGTATTGACTAATTACTATTTAGTGTCACAAAAAATGGGTGACTCATTCATATGGGTTATCTTGAATACTGATGGCCAATCCTACCAAACAATTTAAGACCTAACAATTTTAAATCTTACAATTTGAAATGACCTGCCTTATTTGAGTCTCCCTCCTCTTTTCTGGGCCTTCCTCTGTGTGTATGTCCTGGTGTGTGGAGTCTAATTAGGCTTTGTCTTCATTCTCTTGTGTGCAGTAATTTTCTACTGCAACCAAATAAAATGCATATCACATACAGCCTCATCATGTAACATTGCAGATAGTTTTGTTTAAAAGGGTATACGTTAGAATTTAGCTAAAGAGTTTTCATCTCTCTAATAGCAAAAGCACCTCATCATAAGCAGTTTAGTTCATAGTGTGTTCAATTTAACACGGATTCCCCACAGACAGCATATGAGCAAAGCTCTTAAGTATTAATGAACTTAAATTTTAACAATTATTTGATCAATTAGTCATAATTTCCTTCCTTTCCACTCTTACCTTTGTAAAGTATCAGCATATTTATCATATTACAGTATTTATTTGCTATAAATGAACTTTAAAAAACATTTGGGTAATTACACAATTGAGTTATAGTTCTATTTCATTTGAGAATTACTCTAACATTTCTGTATGCAACACAGATAAAAGCCATCCTATATTTAGTCAAAGTCTAAAGGCTGAATGCACTTTAATTGAAAAAATCTCTTGCTTACATTTCTCTCTGCTAATATCATACTCCTAATAATTAAAACTTTTCATAAAGTAAATGCCAGTCAATACCGATGTCGCTATGTGCAAATAATGGTACAATTAAATTAAAATAACACATTTATGTTAACTCCCCTATTTAAAAAAATCCCTTCCATGCTGGCACTTCCCCCATACGATCATAATAGGAATTTTAAGCTTTCATAGCCAGGGGTAGAAATGATTAACCATCAGGACTTTAGAAATAATGATGTCAAATGGAGAGGAGTGGGTGGTGCTCTGTGGTCACACGGTTTCCCTGTATTTCCTGAATTTAAAGATACAGGAGCACACTCCAGCCACATCTGCTCCACCTGAATTTTGTGTCTTACCATATTTGATCCAATGCAAGGTAAGTTCAGCTGACACTTATGGGGAATAGCCACGGGCAAGATCCATATGATGATAAGTTCACTTTAAAGTCAGTTTCGAGGTTGAAATTTTAAGTTTGGAATTTTGGAAACACGTCCCAGAGAAGCAGTGCCAACAGGGACCAGTGTTCCCAAGCCAGCCCACGAAAAGCTTTCAATTCAGAAATTTTCCAGATAGAGGACGGACAGTTCTGTAGAACCTCACCGCCATGTGGGACTGAGTTTCCAGGGGGGAATTTTCACCACGTTGTCCAGATTTAAAATCTGGGATATTAGGAACTTTTACAAGCTTTTCTTGGCAGCTGTGGCCCTCCTGGAGGGGTTCGCAGCCCACCTCCCTCAGCTGCTGGGGTGGCAGGGTCTCCACCGAGCTGGGAACTTGGGAGAAGGTGGGGAAGTTGGTGGGGCAGCAGGGAAGGCCGACAAAGTTGCAGGGGGTGGGTGCTATTTTGAACCCCTCCTCCCTCAGGTTGCCCTTTCTTCCTGCCCACCATCCCCCTTTATCAGTGGAAGTAGAGGAAGCCTGTGGAAATTGGGAAACCTTCTCACCCTCCCTCTGTGGGCATGATGGCTGGGGTGGGGTGGAGGTACCACCTGCTCTTTTATTCTGTTTGGGGGAGGTTGGGACCCAGAGGTGGAAGGAGGAAGCAGCAGGCTGAGGAAAATTTGCTGAGAGGGGCTTTCCCTCGCATCCTCCTTCAGGTCCCCTCTCCCACAGCCCCTATGGTCACAGGCCCTGCCGGCTGGTGTTGAGTTGAGATGACGTCTTCTTGGGTGGAGATAGGAGGAGGGAACTGTGAAGGGAAGAAGTTGGGTGGGGGGAGTTCCCCAGCAGCATGGGAAAGGAAGGGACTTTCTGGTGGCATCTGGCCAGGCAGCAGTTAGCAGGACATGTGTCAGGCTGGGACCCACCGCTTATGTCCCAAAGGGGTGTCAGGACACAAGTAGTGATGACCATCCAACTGCTGGAGGTCCAGTACCACGCAACCCTAATCATAACCCTTTTCGTTCCATTTCCCAAAATGTCAATAATGAATGCCCAAAGCTCATCTATGTTTTCCCATGGTAAATTTTGGGCTAACATATGAGAACATGTGACCTGTCACTTCATGAGAACATAGCACATAACATCAAATTCCAAGACGATTAGAGCCCCTCACAAGTCTGTACAGTACCTGGAACATGGCTGACAATAAATAGTTTACCACCACCTCACTAGAAAGCAAGTTGCAAAAGAATCTATTTTTTTAAATCTCTGCATTTTACTATTGGCTGTCACTTTAAATACATCTTACAATAAACCGGACGTTTATGTGGTAAATCTGACAAGGGAAGATGAGCTGGGTGTGACACACCCTGCATGGGAAGCAATGAGTAAGTCTCAATAGATTTGCTAGTTTAGAGTTTACATTTGATGCTGGAGCTGATTTTATTCATTATAGCAACCTAATACAATAGAAACCGCTGTCACCGTTAGTGGAAAAAAACGTCTGTGGTTTAAAACAATAACTTTCTTTTGAGTTAATACTAATCTTTCTTGTATCCATTCAATGTTAACTCATCGTTTTTGCTTATTTTAGTCAGGGACTTATACAGAATCCCCCCAAATGGAACAAAGTGCCTTAATTTTCTAAACCCACAGCCAAAACCAAATAGCACTTTTGTGAAATTGTCAAGCAAACCAAGGCTTTGCTTTCTTTCTCTCTTTTTCCCCCCCAGTAAAACCTAGAAAATCTGGTCCCTTCAACAACAAGCACTCTATCCCCCACACTTTCCCTTCCCCTTAACCGTCAAATAAGAACAGTAGATACTCTTTGGACCCAATGTTTCATTTGGTTTAAAATTTGGATTTTAATGTATATCCTCCCTCCCAGATTCATCATTAAAGTCTCCCCTTCCTGGCTCAGCTACTGTGTGTGTTGTCTCTGTTTTAAGATGGAATAATACGTGTTAGAGGTGGGTGTGGGTCCCTTATGGGCCAGGTGACTTATATTTACTTCTTAACAGAGCTACACCTCAGGGATGGAACACTCAGCCTTATACAAAAGATGTAAAAGTGAATTTTCAGTTAATTTTTGAAAAGTCACAGGTGGCAAAAGGGCATTCTGCGTCCTCTCTTTGTGAAACACCAGTCCTGTGGTCCTTTTACCTACTAACTTCTAACTCTGTCCTCCCGATAACCATCGATTTTTGTATTTCTTTCAAAAATACTTGAGCAAGTGACATTTTTGATAGTGCACGAATTATAAAAGCATTTGAATTTAAAAAAAGGGCACATAGTTCTGCAGGGCATCACCACGTAATACCAATATCCTGGAATTCACCTAAGAACTTTAGAACAAAAAAAAGTAACAAACAGACCCCAAGGCTAACTTCTCTGCTGTGTTCTTCAGAGCGGTGAGTACCGGTGATTATGAAAGATTCTATGGACGATGACTGGGGCCATCACGGTCTTAGTTCCTATTTCAATCTTCAGCAGTACTCAGGGAGAGGATCACTTTATTTTCATCATGGCATGAATCCATGCTGACTGTAGGCTGCGGCCCTGGTCCCTATATGAGCCTACAAAATATGTCTCCCAATTCCAGCTGCAAATATTAAATTAAAACATGTGCAAAACTAAACAAATGAAAATCCGCCACCGAAACATAACCTACCCCTCCCTCAAACCACCAGCTTGGGGGAAAACCAGTGTCCATGGTTCCGTGTCTTTATCCTACACTCAAAAAAGAAGAGATTCGTGTTGCTCCCTAACCTGGGTTGTTTCAAGGTCCAAGGGGGCCAGTGAGAAGGGGCAGAGGCCTAGAAGTTCCTGGGGTGGTCTCCACGCACCCTCTTGGGCCACTCCTCGTCCACCCACCTGCGCAGGACCTTCTCCACGTCAGCCCTGTGGTACAGCCTGCAGAGCTCCATCAGCTGGCCCACCGTCCTCTGGCTGTTCCGGAGCAAGAACTCCAAGGTGGGGCTCTGGGGCCTCTGCTCCAGAAAACACAGTTCATCGTAGGGCATACCCCACTTGCTTGCAAAATTTCTCCAGTTTTTGACGGTTGGGTGACACGGGTCCAGCTTTATCCTAATCACGTCGAGCAAGTCCTGATCGTTGAGCAAGTCACTGATGGTGGGGGCCCGGAGCGAGCAGGAGGAGCAGGTGCAGTCCTCCGGGCAGGATGGGTCCTTGCTCACATCTGCGGAACAAACAGCACAGCCCACATGTCAGCAAGAGGCCGAGGAGATGCCTTCATCGCGTCTGTCCTGTATTTTCCATCTGAATTGTTAATAGCATCAGTGGAAGTGTCACACAGCGGGTCTCACAGAGGAACATCTCAGGACACTCACTCCCATATGTTGACACAATCATAGGTTGTTCTCTGGTGCCCAGGACAGGTTGCTCTGCTGGGAGCAGTAGTGAGATATGAGAAAGCCAGTTTCCCTTTCTTTCTGAGGCTCCTGGTGTCTTACAATGTAAGCCACTGGCCAGGAGAGGGCACAGGAGACAGAGCTCTCTCTGAGGGAAGATCACCGGTCCAGGGGGTCACTCTGCTGTCCCATGAGCAAACCAGCCCCTACTTGCCCGCACCTCAGCCCTTAACCCTTCCAAGTTATAATACAAACCAGCCCTGAGAGCTTCTTAATGTCAAACACAGCATGTTAGGGTGTAAAGGATTGCACAACTCTTTAACTTCCCTGGCGGTCTGATTATGTCAGTAATTTTGTACCCAAAGCGGTACATTGTTTTGCATGGAAATTTGTTGTTTTATATTGTAGGCCTGTAATCCTTAGGAATTACTCGCTTAAATCTGTCCAAACAAGAGTCTAGTAGGCATCCCAGGTATGATAAAGTTTGAAACACAAAATCATAAATTATAATAAATAATTATAAAAAATAATATTTTATTCAATAACCACCTTGGCGGTAATCCCGAGTGTGGCTCGGGGTTACCGCTTCTGGCAGTGAAAATTAACCCTGAGCCACACTCGGGATGCCAGGGTGGTTAAAAGGTCTTTAAATACACACACACACACACACACACACACACACACACACACAAAACTAGAATATCCACTCCATACACGCATTTCAAAATGAGTGATAATTGATAATGCCAGAAAACTTACTTTTAAAATTTATGGCCACCTTATCATCCCTTTGCCTTCACCTGCGTTTTCTTCACCCACGGGGCTGGCTCTGAAGTGGAGCCAACACCCCGAGGTGTGCGCGGGCAGATGGATGAGCAGAGGGCTTCTGAGCTGAGCCTCCCTGAGCAGAGCCCGGCCCCAGCCCAGAGGACGGGCAGCACCCCCATCAGGCATCGTTAGCCTCGTTTCAGCACTCGGAGCAGGTTAGCAGGAGGAGGGAGTTGGCCGGTAAGAGGTGTTGGCAAGTCATTTATACTTATAACAAGGTTGTGAGCGGTGTCTGCATAGCCAGGCAACATGAGTGACTTACCTTCTGCGCCAGCACAGGGCCTCTGACCCCTCTGACCTGGAGTTTAACAGCCAAAGGCCACGAGGGAGACCACTGGCCTGGAAAATTCTGGAAGGTTACAATGACCTTTATCACACTAAGCTGCGGACTTCCCAATTTAGGAAAGTAAAGAATTTGGGGGGAAAGGGGTCACTTTGCTGATTACGTAGGTTGAGAACCAGCAATTTTGGGGAAAGTACCTATTAAAAGGTAACAAAAGCCGTGAAAATGAAGCTCATTCTCTTTGACCTACTAATATAACTTCCGGGAATCCGGCCTGAAGAGAAAACCTAAAATATGTATATAGGTGAACATTTTTATTACAGTCTTATCCACATTACGCATTTTTGAAACCACTTAAATGTGAAAGTTAGGCGACTAGTGAAATATTATACATTATTGTACTATTTGATGGTATACTATTTAAGTAATTATGAAGGCTGGAGTCCAGGCAGCAACGTAGAAAATGCTTGTGTTGTAATATTAAGTGGAAAATGCCAGATATAAAGAATGTATGTACTCTATGATTAGAACTATGTGGAAACTCTGTGTTCACATCACTATGGAAGGAAATATACGAAAATAAGAACAGCTGTTGTGTTAGGATGGTGGGATTATGTTTCTATTTCCCAAACTTTCTCTGGTAGTGCTGTATTTCTGTGATAACCAAGATAACGGGTTACATGAACAAATATATTGTTTATTTTAGCACAGAGATGACTTGTCAGGGAAGCATCCCCACTCCTTGCCAACCTTCACTTACGCCTGCGAGCCTACCCCTCCTGCGTTCTCCATGATTTGTTTCATCAAATACCTCCTTTCTTTCCCCTCATCTCCAGCCACCGTTCTCTACTGATTCTCTTTCTTTTATCTACAAACATATATAAGGGCTCCTCTACAGTAAAAAAATAAGAACCCTGCGGTAGTTTGAACTACCCTCCTCTGGTTTCATAACGTGCTGAAGCCACTTTCTCTTCCTCTTCTTTTATCCACTACTAGAAAGTTCTAGAAGGAGAATTCAAAACCCACTCCCTCTGATGCCTCACCGTGTTCTTCATCTTCACCTTCTTGGGCCCCGATCAGCAGCTGACCCGTCTCATTCCTGCCAAACCTTGTGGAGACTGGACCCAGTTCCCTGCACCCCAACTGCTGGCCAGAGTCCACTTCTGACTAGGCAGGAAAGTCCAGGCCAGAAAAGCGGATTCCTGCCTGACTCTGAGGATCACTGGACCTGCTGCTGCCACTGTCCCTGTAACACCCGCTCCCTTGGATATGGCTGCCTCTGGAGCTGGCCCAAAACTCTTTTTTCCCTTCGGACACTGTACATTGCTCCGCAGGCTGCATCCTCCCTGGAGGTTCCTGTGACAGCCAAGCCACATCCCACCCCTTTTCGGCCCAACATACCGTCTCACTGCTGAGTAATGAGGGCGTGCTCTGGTCCTGTTCTTAGCCCTAAGATTCCCCTTTCCACCTTTTCTCCCTTCAGTCACCTCCCCCACTCCCAACAACCTCTACAAGGCTCTCCCACTAGAACGTAAGCCCTTTCTTTCTGAATCTGTGGGACCCAGCACAGCCCTTGTCATAGAGTAAATGCTTAACCAATGTTCACTGAATGAGTGATTGAACGCATGAGGAACAAATGAATGACTAGCCCAGCCCGCACTCCTAGGCTCCAGAACTGAATGCTGGAAAGCTCCTCTTGATGTCCAGATGGCATCTCCAACAAAATGGACCTAAAACAGAACTTAAATTTCTCCCCCGATGCACTGAAAGCACCTCAACGCCCCTACTTACACTGTGATTCCCTGGTGTCCTCACAGATCTTTTCCCTCTTTTCCAATCAGTCCCCACGGCCGTGGCCTCCGCTGGAAGCTCCCCAGGCTACTTACTCCTCCAGTCTTGTTTGCCTCAACTTCCTTCTACATAACCTGTGCCCCAGACAAGCTGGATGACTCAGTTCCCCGAATAGACAACCTGCATTTTCTTTTTTTTTTCTTTTAAAGCTTAGTTAAGATAAAAGACAAATAAGTTCAGTGTAGAAAATTTAGAAAGTATATACAATCATGGATTTTGTATAAATTATTGAACACCTCGTGTTTTCCCAAATTTCAAGGCTATGAGTAAGCAATTTGATGCCGACCTTGCCCATAACCTTTGGCCACATCTTTAATCATCTTCCCAGTAATGGAATTATTATTAGGCCAAAAGGCATTCTAAGGCTATCAATGCATGTGCCCCAAATTGCTTTCCAGAAATAAAGTCTGTACCAATTTACACTCCAACTAGAGGACAGAAATGGTGCTTATCTCACTTCACCTTTGTCAGCACCAAGTGTTAGTTTTAACAAATCTTTGTCAATTTCATAGGTGGAAAAAGCCTACCTTATATTTTTCTACCTCTGTGCCTTTTCTGGTGTTTTCTCTCTGATCACTTTTCTCTCTTCTTTCCCTCTCCTCCTCCTCTCCTTCCTCCATTGAACTTCCCTTCCACTAGGGCACTTCATCCATCCTATAAGCCCCGCCTCACACCTACCCCTTCCATGAAATCTTCCAGCACCTGCGCAGAACGCCATCTCCTTTGAATCCCTTCATTATCTTTGCATCCCCTGACTGTGCTTTGCAGTGAGATATCCTGTGTCATTTTCTGATTCCTTATTTTACCTGAAATGCCCTGAGAACAGATCTGTATCTTTCTTCACTGTGTTCCACACCTTAGAGTTTAAAAATGTAGAATTACATTTCTAGGTAATATAGAGAGAGCTTGTCTTCAGCTACATTAGCAATGGTATATAAAGAAGGGAGACTTTAGCTGCATAGGTGGGACGCTATTTATCTAACAAAAGAACTTCCTAATGGTGAAGGTAGTTTCTCACGAAAAGAAGGCTATATAAGGGAAATTCTGCAATTTTCTTTGCCCTTATTTAAAGTAGAATCAAATTAATAATATTCTGCCAAGTGGAAAAGAAAGCAGGTTACCAAAGAATTATGTGTAGTTGTTTTTGTAAAAACAAATAATATAGTCATTCATATCCATGTAAAGTGTATCATACAGACATTCATAGGTACATTAAAAAATCTGGAAGTATGTATAACAAAAATGGACAGTTCCTAATTTTCTGTAATTATTGTGTTTATTTGGATAATTTAAAAATATTTCTGAAATGTCACAGAAAAAAATAGTGAGACGTAACCTCCATGTCCAGAATTAAATGTCCTGGTGTCTGAAGGTCTCTCTAGTATTATCCTTGTAAGATTCAGGGTTGACAATGTTTTATCCTTTAGTGTCAAGAAGAAGAAAAACATCAGCAAGGTTTCTGTGGAGCTCCTGGCAGCCTTCCAGTGTATGAGAAGGTCGCATTGTTTTAAAAAATGACATTGACCAATTATCAATTTGTTTTAAAAACAAATGATGAACCAAAAGTTGAGTGATGTTTTCCTTTTGTATTTCCAACGACATGAATGACAAACCATTTACTGAATTGGAATCATTTACACAAACTGCCAACATTAGTGAATTCAAAGCTGCCTTTAGAATCATAAACTATAATTAGCATCCTGGGGGACTTATGCAGAAAAACATGTTTTCTTTTCCCCATCAAATACTTTTTTCCTGCCCTACTTTAAATACCTACCATAGTGCACGTGGAAGGACAGACTGGGTGATGCCTCAGGGGAGAAACAAGAAGTTTTCATCAGAAATGAGGGCGAAATGGGATTATTA